TAGAGCTATGCTAAGAAACAAGCCTATTTTTCAGGCAGGGAATTGCCGATAGGAACAGTGAGGTCCAGGATCTCCTGTCTGCCCTGTTGTGCAGGATGGAGCTGCCCACATTAGTCATGAAGGAGCCACCTCACGTGCCTTGATACAGCCTATGCATGGCAGCACGGAGTAACCCAGCCATATGGACCCTGAACACAGTGGTGGCCCCATGTCCCTTGGCTAGACCACAGTCTGGAAGATAGATACATCCCAAAATGAGCTATCTCTTACCAGCTCTGTGGATGTATTTGGCAAAGGTGAATAGATCTGAGTTCTTGTAAGTTCTTCTGGTGCAAGGCTGCAAATCGGGCCTCTTACAGGTTCAGTGGTCTGTCATCCCCTGCTTAAAGAGCACATCAGAATCAGACCTGTCCTGGTTTTTCTCATCCTTTAAGGGATCCCAGCAGACCCTTTTAGAAGTAAACAGAATATGTGTTAAAGTGAAGGGGATCTCTACTCTTCCTCTGGCTGCTTTTAGAAGAAATGCTGGGGAATGCAAATAAAATTCCAGCTGGACAAGGCCAGCTGTGAGGGTGATGTGCAGGAGCTGGGTGTATTGTTTGTCCTAAAATACCTTTAAATAGGAACTTGGAATAAGAGTAGCACAAACTAAACTAGACATATCAACAAAAATGAGACAAAATTGGATTGTCTGTGCTTTAGTCTCTGAGAGAAGAGTAATTTCATTTCACAATTAGATAGTAATATTTCTACTCCATTCAGAAGAAAGCAGCAGGTGTGACATAATCCACATATTTCCATCATCCCCAGCTGCCTGCATGCTTCAGAGATGGAGACTAGCATTTTATCATGTCAGAAACCGGAATGGATGGGAAGTAGAAAAGAGGCATCTTTACCAAAACTCATTAAAAAAAAAAGTTAACTTACTTCGGTATAAGCACAGTAGAGCTGTGTAAACCTTTTGCAATACAACACAAACTATGAGAAACTCTTTTAGTTCAGCACTGAAACATAGAAACAATGCCAGCTAGATGTCATGCAGGATTTATTTTTTCGCAAATCCTCCACTAAAATATAAGATATTTGCTTGACTTTCAGAGATACAAATGTGAGATTTATCAGCATAATCTAGCTTGCTTTCTTTCCCT